GTGCTTTTGGTCATTTATGTTTTTCTAGGAAATTATCCATTTCCTCTAGGTTTTCCAATGTGTTGCTTATACAGCTGTATGCAGCATTTTTTTTTAACGTTTATTCATTTTTTGATAGAGATAGAGCGTTGAGTGGGGGAGGGGCACAGAGAGAGGGAGATAGAATCGGTCGCAATCTCCAGGCCCTGAACTGACAGCACAGAGCCAGAGGCCGGGCTAGAACTCACGGACCATGAGATCATAACCTGAGTGGAAGTCTGACGCTCAACCGACTGAGCCACCCAGATGCCCCTGTATGCAGCATTTTAAAGTGAACATCTTTCTAGATCTTCATCTTATTTCGCTGCTTGGCAGCATTCAAGATAATTGAAGACTGTACTTCTAAGTTTTGAGGGTTTTTTAACGTTTATTCATTTTTGAAAGACAGAGAGTGAGAGAGCATGAGTGGGGGAGGGGCAGAGAGAGAGAGAGACAAAGAATCCAAAGCAAGTTCCAGGCTTTAAGCTGTCAGCACAGAGCCTGACATGGGGCTCGAAACCACGGACCATGAGATCATTACTTGAGCCGAAGTCGGACGCTTAGTTGACTGAGCCACCCAGGTGCCCCTGTTTTTGAGTTCCTTAAATCTGTTGAATGGGTGGTGTTGATCCCTATCTTCAGTGTTATGAGGCAGAGGAATGTATGACAGATACTAATGGAAAATTACAGGAAATTCAAAAATTTAGTGATTTCTTGACATTTTTTATTTTCCCTCTAGTACAGGGTTCATCTCCGTAATTATGCAATTTACTACCCTTTTCCTCATTTCTGTATCATTTTGGGAAATTACAGCCTTATAATAGAGATCAGGAATTTGCTAACATTGTGGCTGATCTATTGGACAACAGTAAATATTGAATTTGACAATAGAGAATAGAGTCACAGATACACTCTTTTTATAAGCAAATATTTAAACCAAAGGACAATTAGTGGGTGATGTCATCTCTGACTAACAACATAGGTATGCCTCTCTGAACAGATTTTCAATGTCCTTCAAGATCATAACTAATATAAAATGACATAATACAATTGCTTACAATATGGATTTTCTACTTTTTATATTAAAATACTGCTTGCTAGAACATGACTCTACTAAACTGGATTTCTCCAGAAGATAAAAAATTTCACTATCTGGGGGCGCCTGGGTGGCTCAGTCGGCTGAGCGTCCGACTTTGGCTCAGGTCACGATCTCGCAGTTCATGGGTTCGAGCCCCGCATCAGGCTCCGTGCTGATGGCTTGGAGCCTGTAGCCTGCTTCGGATTCCGTGTCTCCCTCTCTCTCTGCCCCTTCCCCACTCATGCTCTGTCTCTGTCTCTCAAAAATGAATAAACGTTAAAAAAAAATTAAAAAAAATTTTTCACTATCTGAACAATGTAAGATAAAGTGAGCTTCCAGGAAAAGATCATCACAAACTAAATCACAACTTCAGATGATGCAGTATAGCTAAAACAAAACAAAACAAAACAAAACAGCCATTGAGTCTTCTAAAGTCCAGCCTCTGATGCAAAGGGATTCCCTGGCTAGCAAGACAAACCATGTTCCTTTAATTTTCCTCATACTTTAACAAATTAAATTATGTAGTGAATTATAGTCATTAAACTTGAAAAATCTTTCAGTTAAATGGAAAAACTTCCCATGAGAACTCTCCAAATATCAAAAAGAGAGTCAAGGTATTTTCTGCATAAATTTTCCACCTGGATATACCACTCAAAGTGCTAAACTTTTAACTATTTGAAGTGGAAACTGGTATCACAAAATGCAACACATATCCTGCCTTCTTAAATGCCACGTACTACCCATCTTGATTCGAATTCATCAGTAACATTACTTGGATTAAGTTGATCACAGGGATGCTCTCAGGGAGCAGGATCCTACGTTATTGCAGGATCCTACGTTAAATTTTAAGCTGCTATACTTTTAATGTTCACATTAAATTTACTTTTTAGTTTCCTCCCCCTGCTATCAGCTGTTACATTTTATTGTTTACCTGACACTAGCAGGACCCTGTTGATACTTGCGATTTTTTTCAGGAGCATAAATCAGATAACCAAACTAACTAGAATTAGTTGTGAAGTAATAAGCAGACTCTGAAGATGGGGACCTGAGGCACTCAATTCTTTTTTTTTTGTAATTATTTTTTAAATTTACATCTAAGTTAGTTAACATATAGTGCAACAATGATTTCAGTAGATTCCTTAATGCCCCTTATCCGTTTAGCCCATCCCCCCCCCCACAACCCCTCAGTAACCCTCTGCTTGCTCTCCGTATTTGAGTCTCTTATGTTTTGTCCCTCTCCCTGTTTTTATATTATTTTTGCTTCCCTTCCCTTATGTTCATCTGTTTTGTATCTTAAAAGTCCTCATATGAGTGAAGTCATATGTTTGTCTTTCTCTGACTTACTAATTTTGCTTAGCGTAATACCCTCCAGTTCCATCCATGTAGTTGCAAATGGCAAGATTTCATTCTTTTTTATTGTGAGGCACTCAATTCTTAGATGTTTCTAGTAGGTAGTTAATAAAATATCCACCATAATTTAAGAACCCTATTGAGCAGATTTTAAAACTCTCTTTGCAGAGGGAGAGTCTGATAGCATGTTTCTAATGGAAAACTATATGAATCACAATAAGGAAGGCAGAACTATATAGATCAGCAACTGGCTTACGTAGCTTCCCATCAACTTATTAACAAATTAGGTTACAAAATACAAAAGCAATTTAATGAATCATCATATGAGGCATTGAACTCAAAGTTGAACTGTCATGTGCTTTCATAATACCACTTGCTTAATTACCCATATGAATGAATCATTAATACCTCAAGCCTGCTCAACAGTTTTGGATACCTGATATTTATGTAATGGTGTGCTCATTTGCTGAGTAAGGCAATGAGTAAGGAGAAGCAAGCCTCAAAACAATCACGTGACAATGAGAGTTTTTTTCTTTAAAGTTCTAGAAAACCAAGGTATGTATTTCAAGAGCTGTTATCTTCTGTTGTAACAATTCAGAAGCAGCTGGTTATCAGATATTCATCTTTTAAAACAGACATGATGGAATTCTATAAATTTACAAGAGGAAGTGACGGCAACTGATAATAATGCTTATGTAAAGGGAGTCATTAAAAAAACAGCTTGCTACCAGCCTCAGCCCCTTTTGAAAAATTTGCACACGTAGGAAAATATTTGGACATAGCTCTTTAAAAATGTGGGGAGCACAAACTATTCTGAGAGTACAGCTCTCATACTTTTGGGGTGTTAAAATTACCTTCTATGAAATAATTAGTTTTCAATTCTTTATATACATTTAGCTGACAAAACTTAAAGTTGATAATTTCATTTTAGTCTCCACATTTTTAGGAAACTTTAAGTATGGGAACCACTAGAATATACATGTTGCTGTGCTGCAGTAAATTATTTTAAAGAAAAGCATTTCACAGCCACAGATCATGGATATTCAAACTTTTGGTAAGGAAGATTTTTCCCAAAATCTTGTGATCATCTATGGAGAAATAATTGTTTACTTTGACAGGGAAGCCCCTCAAGAATGTTGAAGAGAAGGTTTTAGGAAAGAACACCCAGAGCCATAGTGACGGCAGTGGTAGACTTCTCCCTCTTCACACATGAGGAAAGATTAACAATTTTGGACACATACCTTGTAAAACTGTTCAAAACCACAACTACATTTCTAACCCTAACTTTAAAACTCCTGCTTTTGGGGAGCCAGGATGGCTGAGTCAGTTGAGCGTCCGATTCTTGATTTCAGTTCAGTTCATGATCTCGCAGTTGCTGGGTTTGAGCCCCGCGTGGGGCTATGTGCTGATACCAAGAAGTCTGCTTAGAATTCTCCCTCCCTCTCCGCCCCTCTCCTGTTCTCTCTCTCTCGGTCTCTCTCTCAAAATAAATAAAAATAAAACTTAAAAAAAAAAGGTTTTAAAATTCCTGCTGTTGGTCACAGAGGCAAGATCACACAATAGAATCTACTGACGTTACAAGTAATAAATTACAAATCTAGGTACCAGACTTAGTGCAATGTCACGTACATACATGTGCTACCTATTAGCATATCTTTGTATATAAAAAAGACACAGTAAACTGACAGGACTGTAATAGACTGTAATAGACAGGACCTTTAATAGACTTAAGGATAGCTATTAATAGAAGAACTGTAATATACAATAAAACAAAATAGACTCTTAGGCTGAAAAATTACAAAAGTTTTAAAGATTCTTCAGTAAGTTTATTTTGCAAACTTTTTGTGTTTTATGTTTTATTGGCTTAGACTGTTTGAAGAGAAAAATGTATACCATTTTGAACACTGAAGTGTTTATCATTTTACTATGAATTCAGATATGCTTTATGTTTATTTCTTTTTTTAAAAAAAATTTTTTTTCAACGTTTATTTATTTTTGGGACAGAGAGAGACAGAGCATGAACGGGGGAGGGGCAGAGAGAGAGGGAGACACAGAATCGGAAACAGGCTCCAGGCTCTGAGCCATCAGCCCAGAGCCTGATGCGGGGCTCGAACTCACGGACCGCGAGATCGTGACCTGGCTGAAGTCGGACGCTTAACCCAGGCGCCCCGCTTTATGTTTATTTCTAACTGACCTTCAAATTGCAGCAGCTCATGAGTTTAGTATAAGTATTCTTGCCACCCCATCCCATCCTGTCATTGAGTCAAAGAGTTCAAGATACATATACAAAACACACACCTAAACAGACACAAACAAGACTTTTGTAAAGTAAACACATTTTTTATAATGTAAATAACTGTTCCTTTTTGGAACTTTCTTTATCCAGTTCAAGTCTTTTCTGAAACTGGGATATTCACACTTATTAGACACAATCTTTATAAAAGCAAAGCATTTATCTCTTTGAAAACTCAAGTAATTCTTGAGAGCAACATGTTTCTTACTGATCTAAAAAGAACAGAGTGTGGAAGGCCAAAGAGGAAAAATCACAGAAGAGGACTGGAAAACAATATATTTAATAGTGCACAGAGAAAATTTCTAACTGTAGATTCTATTGAAAATATTGATATTCAAAGGAATAGCTTTGGACACACTGCCAAAAACTTAGATTTTTCTCCATTAAAACCAAGAGTGTTGATTTATTTAGGAAAATAACATTAAGTCTTTGAAGTAAGAATGAAAGGGTTATACAATTTAATTTCTATATAAATGATTGTTTGAATATACAAAGTATCAAATATAAACAGTAGTGTAGCAAGAAAATAAATTGGTAGAAATAATTACTCAACCAATAGCAATAATTAAGACCACCATTTGAAAGATCTTCTATACACAAAGAATGAAAAAGTATTATTAGGAGATTTTACAGAACACAACTGAACTCAATCCTAATTCATTACTATTATACTTCTTTCTTCTTCAGTATTAGTGGACCCACATTATCTCCTGTTAACTCATTGTGTTTATTATGTGAACCATCACAGGCAGGAAACTAGAAAGGAAAAAGAATTACAAGTATTATTTTAAAAATGATTCAATAAGTAGAAATATTTGTGAAATGCTCTTATAAAGAAAGCACATTACTTTGAAAAACAAATCACCAGACAGCTTTCCTAAGTAATGTATATTCTACACCTAACCCAACTGCATTCCAATATCACAGCAAATCTAACAACTTTAAACAGTTAATTTATTATTTGATAAATATTTTAAATAAAAAGCTTTGGATTGGTTATTCCAAGAGTCAATAAAACAGGCTTAAAGGGGGATCAAAATAATCTCTTGTTTTCTGTGGAGCACCAAATTAGAGCTCAACTCTTCACTTATTTAAATTTGAAAAGAATGTACAGTTGACCCTTGAACAACACAGGTTAGAACTGTGTGGGTCTACTTAACTGTGGATTTTTTTCTTTTTTGATAAACACAGTATAGTACTGTAAATGAATTTTCTCTTCCTTATTGTTTTCTTACTAACATTTCTTCTCTAGCTTCATTGTAAGAATAAAGTATGTAATATATCTAACATGCAAGATAAATGTTGACTGTTTATGTCATTAGTAAGGCTTCTGGCCAACAGTAAGCTAATAAGTTTTGGGGGGAGTCAAAAGTTATACCCAGATTTGACTGTGCCGGTGGTTGGTGCCCCAACCTCCATGTTGTTCAAGGGCCAACTGTAATTTAAATTCAAAATACATTATTTCATGTTTTCTTACCATGAAACTCACACATATTGTAAAATTTTTGAAAAAATTTTAAAATGAATTTAAAAATATTCACTCATAAGTAATAATCAAGATTTTTATATAATTTTTCCTCTGCATTTACTATGTGTATTTCTTTTTTAAAAAACAAAATTGGGGTCATACCGTACTGTGCTTTTATTAATTACATCATGCTCTCCTGTCATTAAAATATTCTTTAAAAACATTACTTGTAATGGCTTCCTAATATCCCATAATTTGTATTATACCATTCTTTAATCACATTCCCATTATCGGACACCTAGATTATTTCCAAAACTTTGCTATTACAATAAATGTTGTGATGAACATTACTATGCTTAAAACTTCAAATAACCTATGATCAAAGTACTCGAAGAAAACAGATCTCACCAGCTACTTATAATTCTCATCACTCCATACTTGTTATTATTTCCACATTAAAAATCATCCATAATTATAGCTGCCATTTATTAGCTCATCTATATATAAGGCCCCGTACATAGCATCTACTAAATCCTAAAAAATGTCTGTGATATTGATATATTATCAGAAAACAAAAAAACAAAAACCTAAAACATCAGAGATTAAAGATTCAGTAACCTGCCCAACCGAAGTCATACTGTAAGGGGCAGAAATCAGTTTTGAAAACATCAGATTTCTATTCTTCCTTTTCTAATGTAGGTAAGTATCCACCATAAAATGCAAACTTTAATTTAGGAATATAAATTTTCAGTACTGAATACTGTGGAAAAATCTTTCATCTCACAGAACCTCAAAACTAAGGATTTAAAAAGCATAACAATTCTAACTGCACAAAGTTTCAGAGTACGTGCAAGCGGACATCTTACCGTCTTAGAACGCCAACACCTACAATAAGCTGCTTTAGTGAGACACAAATCTTCAATATTTATTTCATTCACCACTTTGGGATTTTCCTTTTGTATTTTAAGATTAATCAAGCTATCCTTCTGTTGTTTCTTCTTCGGGAGGAATGGACGAACTGCAAGGTAGCCAAGTAGTGCAAGTACACCAAGGAAAGGCAATAACCGAAGCCATTCTGAAACTAAACACGTACAGATTTAACAGTCTGCAGCACTCTTGTAATAGAACTCAAACAGCACGTGTCATGCTTAAGTTTATTCTTTACCTATTCTTCTCACATTACTTCTCACATTAATTTCTTACCTATAAGTCTATGAATAAATAACAAAGTCAAGCCACCTATATCTAAGACCACCACTCTGATTTGTGAGCTAACTGAAGAGTTGTGAAACTGGAACACAAAGTTTTGAGAAATGTATCTTATATCAAGTATCCTATTTCATTATCCCTGACCCTGCCCTCCAAGACAGTACTGAGTGCTCCACAAGGCATTTAATGAACACTTAGGTAATAAGAGGTATCTAACAATGAGAACACCAAGTATATTTGTGTTTATCTTTATTTTTATTTCAGGAATAACAATCATCATAATTACAAACAAAGTTCAATGTGTGATATATTTTATAGGTTTAGAAAACATTTCCACCATGTCTAAAATCATACAACAGAATACCCAAGAATATTTTTTTAATGTTTATTTATTTTTGAGAGGGAGAGACAAAGCGTGAGAGGTGGAGGAGAGAGAGGGAGACACAGAATCTGAAGCAGCTCTGAGCTCTGAGCTGTCAGCATAGAGCCTGATGTGGGGCTTGAACTCATGGACCACAAGATCATGACTTGCGCTGAAGTTGGATGCTCAACCAACTGAACATGAAGACAGAACATGTCTTCAATGCTTTAATTTACATTTTTGGTAAGACACAGTAATTCCTAAAGAAATGTTATCTAAAAGCTACTATTTTCGGGGCGCCTGGGTGGCGCAGTCGGTTAAGCGTCCGACTTCAGCCAGGTCACGATCTCGCGGTCCGTGAGTTCGAGCCCCGCGTCGGGCTCTGGGCTGATGGCTCAGAGCCTGGAGCCTGTTTCCGATTCTGTGTCTCCCTCTCTCTCTCCCCCTCCCCCGTTCATGCTCTGTCTCTCTGTGTCCCAAAAATAAATAAACGTTGAAAAAAAAAATTTTTTTTAAATAAATAAATAAAAGCTACTATTTTAAAGAACTAATTAAAATTTTCATACACTGAATGTTCTCATTATTAGATACCTCTTATTCCCTAAGTGTTCATTAAATGCCTTGTGGAGCACTCAGTACTTTCTTGGAGGGCAGGGTCAGGGAATATTAAGTAATATAAATAAAATGGTCCCTATGTCTATGAAGACAAACACATAAGGAAACCAAGATAAACATTTCAGCATGCACTCATCAAATGTTGGCTAGTGCCCTCCCTCTTCGGGGCTCTGTAGAGAATCCTTTCTGTTCTTAAATGTGATTATTTGACAATCTTCACTGAGTACTTACCTGATATCTTGCTCAGCACTACGTAAAAATTGCTTAGTCAAGAAAGAGAGAAAAACTAAAGATGTGCCAAGGCATGCTAATTAATGTTAGTAATAGACTATGCTAAGAGTACCACTGTATTATCTTATTTAACTCTGTTAAGCTGTGTTAGCTTAAAACAGCTGTATTTGGAGGGTACCACTATTATTCCCATTTTCATGTGAGTAAACTGCAGCTCCATAAGCAGGTTTAGTCCAGGACAACAAATCCAGTCTACTTCTCAATCATGATAAATAAAATCCAACAAATTTAAAATTTCATCTGTCCTTCTCTTGGTAAGACTATAATATAATTGTTCTTACACTTAACTATTAAAGAAAAAAATTTTAGGGGCGCCTGGGTGGCGCAGTCGGTTAAGCGTCCGACTTCAGCCAGGTCACGATCTCACGGTCCGTGAGTTCGAGCCCCGCGTCGGGCTCTGGGCTGATGGCTCAGAACCTGGAGCCTGTTTCTGATTCTGTGTCTCCCTCTCTCTCTGCCCCTCCCCCGTTCATGCTCTGTCTCTCTCTGTCCCAAAAATAAATGTTGAAAAAAAAAAATTTAAAAAAAAAAAAAAAAGAAAGAAAAAAATTTTAATTTTTAATGTTTATTTATTTATTGCAAGTACATGTGCAAGAGAAAGAGAGAGAGAGAGAGAGAGAGAGAGACAGAGAGAGAGAGGGAGAGGGAGAGGGAGAGAGGGAGGGAGAGAGACAGAGAAAATCCCAAGCAGGTTCCGCGCTGTTAGCACAGAGCCTGATGCAATGTGGGGCTTGATATCACCAACTGGGAGATCATCACCTGTGCAGAAATCAAGAGTTGGATGCTTAACTGACTGACCCATCCAGATGCCCCAAGATAATTTTAGATTATAATAAGAGCTATGAAGGAAACAAACAGAATGATAAAAGAAAGAAAAAGATTATCCTAAGGACCAAGCAGGATAGGTTGACTCCAACTTTCGGTAAGGAAGTCAGGAAGGAAAAAAAGATCTTTAAGTCAAGACCTAAAGACAAGAAGGTGGGGGGCTCAAAGACTTGAGAAAAAAACTTTCAAGGCACAAGAGTATATGTAAAAGAAGCTTCCAACTTCACAGGATTGTTGGGAGGAGCAAATGAAGTTGGAAACCACTGGAAAAACTACAGAACACTATGTGAAAGAAAGCTACTAATACCTTCTGCCCTGAAACTACAGTTATGTAAATATCTGTCTCCTCCCCAACTCCCTGTCCTCTAACAGAGACTTATATAAACCAAGACTTCAATTAATTTTAACTGAATTGAGTCTGTACTCCATTACACTGACATTTTTTTTTTTTAATGTTTATTTATTTTTGAGACAGAGAGAGACAGAGCATGAACAGGGGAGGGTCAGAGAGAGAGGGAGACACAGAATCTGAAACAGGCTCCGGGCTCTGAGCTGTCAGCACAGAGCCCGACGCGGGGCTCGAACTCACGGACCGTGAGATCATGACCTGAGCCGAAGTCGGACGCTCAACCGACTGAGCCACCCAGGCGCCCCTAAGATAACTCCTACTAGGTATGCACTTGTTTGCCTTTATTCAAGGCCTATGAATGATAACAGTGTAAGGTGACAGATAAGAATTCTGTTTAAAATATTTAAGAAAAAAACTTTAAGCATCCTCAAGAAATATAAAACCTCATAGACAGATCAGGTGATAAGACAGGTGAAGATACAAAAATTACAAGACACAGTTCCTACCCCGAAGAAGCTTTTCACCTAGTATGGACTACAGATCTATAAGAAAAGAATTAAGTACTGTATGGTATGTGCAATTATAAATAAGCAATACAGAAGACATGATTAACTCTGCAGGGATGAGCAAAGGCTTTACATAGAGGCTGGCACCTAACCAGGTTTCTGAAAGATGAATAAGACTATAGGAGTCCACTATGCTGACCGCTCAGAGCCTGGAGCCTGCTTTGGATTCTGTGTCTCCGTCTTTCCCCCCTTTCCCACTTGCGTGCATTCTCTCTCTCTCAAAAATAAATAAACATCAAAGAAAAATTTTTTATAAAAGACTATAGGAGTCCATAGGCTTATGGGAGGGGGAGCTACCTTTCACACAGAAGAAACAGCATAAACAAAGGCACAGAGATACAATGTGCATGAAAAGTTGGGGGAAGTAAGCACAACAATATTGCTGGAATATGATGAAATAGGAGAGGGACTGTAGAAGTGGTCAGGTGCCAGATGATAAAAATCAATAGGTAGGTAATAATCTACCTTGTACATAAAAGGTAAACCACCGATATTGAGAATATCACTGCATATTAATATAACTGGAAAGCTGTTCATTTATGAAATCAGATGGAATTAAGGTATCAGATGGACGATGGACTAGTGGAGAGACAGAGGGAAGGGCAGAAAGGGATGTTAGTGGGAGGGCAAGAGGCAAGACAATCTGTTAGAATTCCACTGAAATAATTCCCCCCAAAATAATGCAAGTTTAAACTAAGGCAGTAGCCATTAAAGCAGAGGACAAATGGAACCCCCAAAACTGCCTGAACAGTGTACGTGTGCATGCATTTTTTGAGGAGACAGTCTGATGCTTTTACTGGGATCACAGAGCAGGTCTGTGATCAATCTTCACATACCTTGAAACTTAAGAACCACTAACTCAAGTAGTAAAATCAATAGGATTGGGTGAGTGATCAAGTATGGAGCATAAATGGAAGAAGTGAGGGTCCTTCATGATTCCCAGATTTCTGGTTTCATTATCTGGATGAATGGAGATACTGGTCTCTAATTCAAAAACAAAACAAAACAGAACATAACAAGGGCAGTTTTAAGCAGCAAGAGACCAGTGCAGTGTTGTAGAAGAAAGGGAAAAATATGAAGGAAAATATTCCTTAAAGAATATAAGGGAGAGACTAAAGGTCAACAGTTAACAGCAAAAAAATAGGAATACTGAAGGACTGCATAAGTCATAGCTTTCTTTGAAACAGTGAAATAGTCTAATGTGGAAGTTGCTCTTCAGAGCCTAAAAGATGCCATCTCTCGGGGCACCTGGGTGGCTCAGTTGGTTAAGCATCCAACTCTTGA